AAATTAACTGTCTATAAACAATAGAAAATGTAAAATGGAATTTCATAGCTAACTGGAAGTCGGCAGATACGCCTTTTATGTGAAAACATTAGAAAGTCAAGAAGTTTTTTCTTCATGTTCTTCCTCTTCGTCAATGGCATTTATCTTTGCACCATGAACAATAAGTGGAATTGGTACATTAGATCAATAAAATCATGAAGAAAATATTTATTTTAAAGATTACTTGAACTATCGAGAAATTGGTTTAAATTGTGAATTTCCAATAATCTTGAAAATTCAATTACCAATAATAATGGAAGAAAACACACGACAAAGAGTGTGAGGGTATATACAGAACATTAAACAACTATGTACAAATTGAAATGCCAATGAGGTTTTTATATGAGAAAAATTGGTATATTTAAAAAAATTAAAATTTGAAAATTCAAAATCTGCTTTTGCTTTTGATTTTGATTTTGAATGTGTAACATGCTGCCTTCCTTATTTCATTTTGTTCCCCGTGCTTTTGAATTATTCAGAAACATTACTTTTTAAGTCGAAAAGTTTATATAGTCAAAATTAATTTGGAAGGGAATTATCTGCCTAGATTCATGAATGATGTACGAAAACAAAATTGAACAAAAAACTTTAATAAAGAAAATTACCTGCTCAGAGAGTCAGAAACTGGAATCGATTCGGACTTAAACCTGCTCAGAGAGTCAACCAGTCGACGGTCGAACTCGGAGAGCGAACAGACAGCTCGGACCGCGTGGATAGGGTTCTGAAAGAGTGATGAATTCGAAGTTCGAAGGGAGGGAAAGGAAAGGAAAGAAGGAAAACAAAGGGAATGAAAGTGGAGAGACGACATCGAAAACGGGAGACGGTGTCGGCGCGACTGTTGGGGACCTGGGGTAGGTATTGTAAAAAGGGAAGAAGATATGTGAGCCATTGGTTTTACCATTTTTTAAATATATATATAAAACAGGGGGCCAAAAAATGAGGCCCCCTCCAGTTTTGGGCCTGAGGTACAGGCCTCATCCTCCTCACCTCAGGGCCGGCCCTGGACTGCACTATATATGGTATTAAAGAAGAAAAAGGTTAAAAATATTGTTTATTATCCTATAGAGTCATGCGTGTCAAGCATGTTTTTTAATTATTATCATTTATTTTTAAATGTGGTAATCGGTTTGAACCCTTTAATTATATACATGAGTTTTTTTGAAAGTACATTTAGCAACAATACAGAAACTATAGTTCTTTTATGATGAAGGCAAAATAATAATTTCATTTAATTTCGGGTTTGTCTGTTTTTGATGAATTGCTAGACTAATTAGATTAAAAACGAGCCAATGATCACAATTCAGGGCCTTTAGCCCTGAAGCACGTCGGAGTTTGGGCAGATTCCGCCGTTTAGGCATTCAATTAAGCGTTTTCGTCGTTTATGATAATTTTTGTTTTGACAATAAGTTAGTCAAATACACTTGGATTTGATTTTCATTTGTTGGGGGATGATCCTGGTGATTAGGAGAATCAAGATCCGTTATTATCTCAATTTCTTCCATTTTTGGAAAAAAAATAATA